ATAGAAATGGTGGTGGGCCGCCTGGGCCGATTTTTTGTCCCAGTCCAGCCCTGATTGTATAGCTGTAGTGGCAGAAGTGTAGTTGTTGGTAGTTTTGACTGCTGAACCTATTTTTGCCACATGTAGAGCGCTGAATTCAGCAGAAAACATGTTGAAAATGCACTGTAAATTTATCAACAGAATCTTCTGCAATCTGCTAAGCACACAGGATGCTAGCATACAGGACCGCGCGTTCCCTCGGGCAATGCCTGGTGTTCATGCTCAAGAACCTTCAGACGCTCACACTCACTTTTTGCACTGAAAGAAGAAAACTTCTGCACTCATATTTCTGCTCTAGTATAAAATTCGAAATGGTTTTGCCTGTAAATGCAATACAGGCATTTATAAAGAAACAAAATAATAGTGCACATCTCATACAGTGTTTGGAAAAAATGTATATACTGTTTGGGGTCTTATGCTCACCAAGGCTGCATTTATTTGTTCAAAAATACAATAAAACAGTAATGTGAAATATTATTAACATTACTATTTTGTAACATTACTGTCACTTGACGTTACTGTCACTTTAAAACAATTCCCATATCAGTGCTGAATAAAAGTATTAATTTCTTAAATTAATCCAACACAATCCAAACACTACTGTTCAAGTTTAATGTTTATTGTAGCAGTATGGTGCAGTTTTTTTATGAATAAATCTGACTTAACCCTGATGATTAAGCAGTTCAAAATCTTCCCTAACTGAGGTTTGGAATTAGTGTAAATTAATGAACATGTGGACAGTAAATATGATTCCCCTCCTCATGTAAATTTAAATCTGAACCTTCTCTTCCTCTCATTATTTACTGGAAAAGTGTGTAATAGTTGTCATTGGCCCACGCCTGATAATAGCTGCATATGTTATTACTGTTATAATAGAAAATACTCAGTGTAGTAACCAGAAATCACATACTTTTCTGTATAGACCTGCAGCTCTGTTATGCAGTGTGACAACACAGTTCAACTCTTGTGTTGCAGTTGCGCTGCTGCTTCCCTTACATGCAAGCTTGTGTCTGAGGTGTAAAACAGGATTACAATGATAGATCATTTGTTTATAAACTAATTTAGTGTTTTGATTGGTTGTACTTCGAAGAGCACTTTATCATTGTGATTTTTGTCTTTGGACTGTTTAGTCATTGTTCTCCCTATTTCCCTTTGTACAGAGTTAATGACTGTATACTGCGGGTAAATGATGTAGATGTGAGAGACGTAACTCACAGCAACGCTGTGGAGGCACTAAAAGAGGCAGGCTGCATTGTCAGACTGTACGTCAGAAGAAGAAAAGCCGTCACAGAAAAAATAATGGATATAAAGCTGGTAAAAGGTCCTAAAGGTAAAGCCATCTCTCATCTAAAGATTACAAAATGAAAGCATGCTATGCCTTGATGTTTAATCACTATACAGTAAGTCATGTTAGGAAATGGTTTAGCAAATGGTTTAGTCTGACCTCTGTTGACAGGTTTAGGTTTCAGTATAGCCGGAGGAGTTGGAAACCAACATGTTCCTGGGGACAACAGTATTTATATCACCAAAATCATTGAGGGAGGAGCGGCCCACAAAGATGGACGGCTACAGATTGGAGATAAACTTCTGGCCGTAAGTTAAAAGTTAACTTTTCTATTACCTATATTTACTAAATAACATTAGAGACATCATTTTACATTGATGCAAGGAGGAAATCCAATTTTTTAAGAGCACTTCGTTTAATGAGATGTACAACCTATTCATTTAGAGCTCCTGCTGCTGACTTTTAATGATAAATATATCCTCTTCAATAAACCATTTTTGCAAATAAGCTGTCGCTTTCAACCTGTAGAGAAACATTTGCATCTGGCAGAATGCAATTATACATTAGTTCATTTTTAAAGAAAGACATCACCCAAAAATGCTAATCACTGTTACTGAATAATGAAACGGACCTTTGATTAGTCCTTTTCTGTCACTTGAAGTTTATTGTACCCTGGCTATATTAAATATTAATACCTTCATGTTTTATATTATAACTTTTCAAAAGTTTAGATTGAGAATTTTTTTTTATAAATTGATACTTTTATTCAGCAAGGATGAATTCAATTGATCAAAAGTGCCAGTAAAATGTAAATTCAGTCTCAAATAAATTCTGTTTTAGTAACCATTATATTCATCAAAAATCCTAAAAAAAACTTGAATATGGTTTCCACAAAAATTGTAAGCAGCACAACTGTTTTCAGCAGTGCTATTATAACCAAATGAGCAAATTAGAATGATTTCTGAAGAATCATGTGACACTGAAGTCTGGAGTAATGGCTGCTAAACATTCTGCTTTGCCCATTACAAGAATAAATAAAGAATAAATACATTTTACATTATATTAAAACGGTTATTTTAAATTATAATATTTCACAATATTACTGATTTTACGGTATTTTTGATCAAATAAATACAGTCTTGCTGAGTATAAAAGAAAAAGAAAAACATCTTACAGACCTCAAACTTTCATTTTGTGAGTTTTATCTGAAGGTTTTATCTAATCATGTGCTTGGTTATAGGTGAATGCTGTTTGCCTTGAAGAGGTCACTCATGAAGATGCCGTGGCTGCCTTGAAAAACACCCCTGATGTCGTCTATTTAAAAGTGGCGAAACCCACTAGTGTCTTTATGAATGATAGTTACGTTCCTCCCGATGTCACCAGCTGTAAGTAAGCTTATCTTGAAACATACTGTTCTTTTTTTTTTTTCTTTTTTTTTTTTAGAAAAAGTATTTTACTTAGAAAATAAAAGCATGCAGGCGTTATCAATATGGTCAGAGAATGAACCGATTTGCCTAAAAGGCGCTTTGACTCAGTTCTGAGGTCCCATGCGCACTTATGGCTTTTAAATCTCACCTCAAAGCTGCTATACACAGCACTTTCTACTGATGAGGGCAGCAACTCGTGAGGACGGCCACTAAAATTGACTGTGCAAAGTGCTGAGTGATGACAGTCGATAATGTAGCACCTTGGTGATGTTCCAGTGGCAGGCCAGATCCCCCAGCATTAGATTCTGAGAAAGGAAGCTGTCATTAGGGCTTAAAGGCATGAAGGACAAAAGCACATTTAATCATGAAGTGCATCACGTGGCCAGCTCCCCCATCCAGCAAATCCAGCATCAGTATATGTAGAAATGAGTGAATGTGCGTGTGCAAGTGTTGCAGAGAGAGTTTTAAAGTCTTGTAAGGATATCCGCACATGTAGACAACACTGTCTCGGTCATGTGTGTGCGTGCGCGATGTGATTTTTCTCGGAAGGTGTAAACAGAACAATTTCATTAGTGATCCCATTTCATTATATCTGTCAGCCAGTCAGGCACTGCGTAGGGATTTGACACGTGAAGGACTGTTTGATGAGAATTAAATAAATGGGTTGTCGATGTCTGCAGTTAGTAATTGCCCAGTGCGTACCCTTGACTTTATTACACTTTAAGGATACATCTTTCATAGTAGTGACATCAATTAAAGAGCCTTAAAAGGATTTTGTTCACACAAAATAAAAATTCTTCCATTATTTACATACCCTAATGTTGGTACATTCATGCACTTGGCAGATGCTTCTTTCCAATATAATTGCATTAAGGATGTGCATTTTATCAGTTCATGCATTCCTTGGAAATCAAACTTATGACCTTGCTATCTCTGTTCTCTGGTGTTTAAGCTGCAACAATACTTATATTTTTAGTTTGGTCACACTTTATTTTAATGATTCCTTCTAACAGTATAATTCCACAAGTAAGTACTATGTTAAATGAATTAACAACACGTATTTACTAGAAGTTTAGGGTTTGGTTTAGTGTTAACTATGCATAATTTACTACATAATTTATTTTATCACTATAGTAAATACATGCAAAGTGTGACAAGGACACATTAAAATTGAAAAGTGTTACCAATATGTTTTATGTAGAACACAACAAGGGATTTTTTTAAGTATTTGTTTAATACTCTATCGTATGTCTTTAGAAGACTTTTAATATAGCGCAAAAAAAGTAATATGGACTGCTTTTATGGGTTCTCTTGGTCCTTTTGGAGCTTGATGTGATGTGGAGCTTGATGACAAAGAAAAACTTAATACTTGTATTTAGCAAGGGTCCTTTAAATTGATCAAAAGTGACATAATGTTAAAAAAAAAAATTTTAATAAATGCTGTTCTTAAGAACCTTCTATTCTTCAAAGAATCCTGAAAAAGATGAATTCAAAATATTAAGCAGCACAACTGTTTTCAACATTGATAATATTCTTGAGCACCAAATCAGCATATCAGAATGATTTCTGAAGGATCATGTGACACTAAAGATTCTGAAGGATCATGTGACACTTTATCATCACAAGAATAAATTGCATTTTAAAATATATTACAATAGAAAACAGTTATTTAAATTGTAATAATATGTAACAATAGTACAATTTTTATTGTATTTTGACTGACAAATTGCTTTGTCTTTGAATTGTTTTGTTTCTGCTATTTTGTAACTCTCTTTGGATAAAAGTGTCTTCTAAATGCATGGATGTAAATGTAATTGTTGATCAAATAAATGCAGCCTTGGTGAGCATAAAAGACTTCTTTCAAAAATTTAAATTAAAAACATTAAAATTCAATTCAATTCAAGTTTATTTGTACAGCGCTTTTCACGATACAAATCATAAAAGATGGGTAACACTTTACAATAAGGTTCATTAGTTAACATTATCTAACTATATTAGTTAACATGAAGCAAGCATGAACAAACCTTCTACAGCATTTATTAATCTTAATGTTAATTCCAACATTTACTAATGCATTATTAAAATCAAAAGTTGTGCTTGTTAACATTAGTTAATGCACTGTGAATTAACATTAACTAAGAAGGAACAACTGTATTTTTATTAACTAACATTAACAAAAATTAATAAATAATGTGCTAAATGTATTGTTAATTGTTTGTTCATTTTAGTTAATACATTAACTAACATTAACTAACATTAATGGAACCTTATTGTAAAGTGTTACCAAAAGATCTTACCAACCACAAACTTTTGAACGGCAGTGTACATAAGGGTATATGTAAGTTAATGCGCAAGTAAAGAAGATTGTGTGCAGAAAGGGAGTGATCAAATATGATTTACAACATCCTTTCTAGGAGGACTCTTACACAACAAGGTATTTTTTCCCCCCAGCAGTTTCAGTCTTCGGCTTGTCTATACATGTAATTATTACATATGTGACCCTGGACCACAAAACTTAAGTCGCTGGGGTATATTTGTAGCAACAGCCAAAAATACATTGTATGGGTCAAAATTATTGATTTTTCTTTTATGCCAAAAATCATTAGGATATTAAGTAAAGACCATGTTCCATAAAGATATTTTGTAAATTTCCTACTGTAAATATATTAAATAACGTTAGTTAGTGTGTAATGTTGCTGTTTGAGCATAAACAATATTTGCAAAGTTACAAAGCTGAAAGTTCAATGCAAACGAAGATATCGTCTTTTAAAATTCTGGTAGTTTAATGCCTACAAAAACGGCTGATAGGGACTACAACGAGGTACTTCCCGTGTTCGTGACATCACAAACCCAGATAAACCCCGCCCTCGGGAAAAGGCAGCAAAGGGGGCGAGGCCATGCTGCGCTGCTTTAGAGAAGAGGAAGAGAAAACTAGGTGCATGTAAAAATCTATTCATATATGAATTGCGATTCTGTCTTCTAACGATTCTAATGGATTCACAAGTTTCAAAATCAATGTTCTAAAGCAGCAGTTCTTAATACTGTTCCTCGCGTCCCCCTGCTCTGCACACGCTCTGCATCTCTCTCTCTCTCCCTCTCTCTCTCATTCAGCTCAGCTCCAACAATGATCTGTTACAATTATACACTTATTTTCACATAGCTATGAGAAACGTTAAACGTGGATGCGCGTGCAGTTGCCATACTGTATTAAAGCTTTAATCAGGATAAAACCGTTGTTTACAATACATCCGGAGCACATGCCGCCGAGGTGAGGGGGGCATTAACACATGTTAGACTGCACCCCATAAACACAATTAAGCCTAGAAAAAACCCAGTGAACCACCCCTTTAAAACTTAATTTTTGATTAGTAATATGCATTGCTAAGAACTTCATTTG